CATTTGTAATTCCTTTGGTAATTGCCATGAGTCAGCTTTCACTTAATACTAAATGGCAATGCTAATATGAAAAGAGAATGCCAGGCATACAAGCAAAAGTACCAAGTTGTTTCAGGAAGGAATTTGAATAGAATTCAAGAACTGGATGTCTACCTCAAGCTGGAATCCATTTTCATTAATAAAATATTAGAAACTTATTAAATCACAAGAACAAAAATGAAACCTCTACATGGGTTTCAAATCCATAATTCAAGATTTCATGAACTTCTACAACTTTTCCAAAAATGGTAATCTTGACCACATCAAGAAAACAGACTGTTCTTTATTCATTTTATCATGTACCCAAATAGACTGAATTTATATGGAAATTATCTCAGCAATGAAGCAGCACAATCAGGATAGCTAATTATATACGTTAAAAAAAAAATTTAAGTCACAAACTTTAGTTCTGGTTATATAACTTAAAGACCTGAGAAAACGTGATAAAAGAATCCTTCGCAGTCCTTTAATGAGAATTCTGTGACACATACAGACTAAAAGGAAGGAATACAACAGGGACACCTATTTTTCTATAATTTTGACGGCACTCAGCCTAACGATATATTTGTCTAGATCTTATTTGTTTCTTCTTGGTCTTCCATGCCTACTTTGAAAACAAATAAATAAGGGTACCATCACATGAAGCCCTATGATCACACTTCTCGCCAACCCCATCCTCCCTTCAACGCAAATTATAAGTGTCTCTATGATGTTATTCCTTAATATGCCCCACGTTTTTAAGTGCCTTTTGCCTTAAATATATACCCTCTACCCTTCAAATCACCACCAGGGAGCTTTCATTTATGCTGACCTTTCTTTGGCCACTCTTGATCCCTTGAGAATATACTAACCAATAATTTTGCATTTGCTAATAATAATCATGCCAATTCATCATCAGTATTTTGAAATTTGTACAGCCTTGGTTCCAATCCTTTCCACCTATCATAATGTATATGGGAAACGAAACAGTAATGATTTTGCGTAAGTTTCAGTCTCCCAAGCAAAGCTGACAATGATTTTCATAGCTAGTGGCATCTTTCAGATGATAGGAAACACAGGAAACAGAGATTAGAACACTTGCCCATGTGTGATCTCTGGCATGCCTGCATTAGAATGCCAACTCTATTACACAGACCCACACAGAAAATATATTAATATATTTCTATGACCTAAATACTTTAAAACTGTAAACCTCCTGACTTAATGGTCTCAATTAAGAATTATCTGAAGGTCACATCCTGGTATCATGTATGAAACACAAAAAGGAATCCTACAAACATACTACATAAAAGTAATACATGACTTGCTTATTGCTGTGTACCATTATGATTACTATATAGGTTATAGGAAGTTCTTGGGTAATTTTTACATTTTTATTATCACCTTTAAGATAGTTGTTTCTCTCATTATCACTCACTGATCTATTATTGTAGCTCCTTTTCATTAGAAATCTAATGCAGAATACATTCAGAACAAGAAGAAATGAGAGGCTACTCTAAATCACCAGTCCTCTGCAGGTACGCAAGCTGAAGAACATTTCCTCACTAACATTCAGCTGCATCATCATCAATGCCGCGCAACCACTAAACGCTAAGCAGTGTGTACACCTCATAGCTGTACATCACTGTACAAATAATACTTTCTTTAGTGAACTTGTAGTTCAAAGTGCTGAACACATCTATATTGTAAATTATACTATGTTATTTTCCATTAGTTTGTGTAACATTTCAATCTGTGAACAAGTATGCCTTAATCTGGTAAACGTAGGCAGAAGTCATGTCTCATTCAGAAATTGAGGTCAGATTCTTAAAGGAGTAGTTAAAACTCTTAAAACATTAAAAAAATAAATACATCAGCCTAAATCACAAAGACTTCCAAAGATAAAATACCACTTAAAAGGAGTACACAAAAGAATGTCTGAACTAAAACAAGTTAACAATATATCCTGTACAACAAGGTGTAACTTATTACTGTCAGGAGCCTCCCTAGAAGCCTTGGGAGACCAACGAGGAACAGATCTGCACAAAACGGAACGGAGTAAAAACTGTAATTGTATCACCTGTCTAAAAGCTCATTTATTCTTTGTGACCTATAAGTTTATCCTACACATTTGATGACTCGATTACAGTTATATAAAATACATAATTGCCAGTAGAGATAATGGTCATGGGCACAGGTTCAAAAGTCAAAAAGCCAAAGTCTGAATCCAGGTTCTGCCATTTACCAGCTGCGTATACTTGGCCAAGTTATTTAATTATCTGTGCCTGAGCTGCCTCATTTGAAAATGAGAGTAATAGTGCCTACCTCCTACAGTTATTGTGAAGATTATGAGATAACACACATAAAGCTCATAGAATAGTACCTGTTTATTAAAATGAAGTTATCAAATGTTTTCAAACATATGTCCCTGATAATAATTACTCTTTATATTCATAAGTGCTTCAAGTGGCATACCAGTTAAGCTCCTCACTATATTATACAAGACACCTTTGAAACTTTAAGTGTTCACAAAATCTAATAGTGAAGCCACCTCTGACTCCATACTAAATTCAAGAGACAGTATTCAAACTCCCCAAAATTTGCACTTGATGGTAAACTGGCAAAGAGTGAAATTCTAAATTATCTTGCCAAATTAAAGGCAAAGAAAATGATAATCATCTAGAACTTACCAGAGAAGGTGCACAGAAAAATTTCCAGTACTAGAAAAAGATCTGTTTAAAGCAACAGGATCTGTGCACTGTGTCTGGAAACCTACTTTGGATCTGTTTTCAAGTGTACTTACTAGCTTCACCTCATTTATCACTTAAAGCCTTAAAAGAAGGCCACAGTTAATTTTGAATAACCTGACCTTGAACAACGTTTCAGATATACTATATGCAGGAGCATCCTATTATGTCTTCTCTCCAATAACTAAATCAAATGACATCATTAATGAAAATCAATCTATATTTTCCCTTTTATTAAAACATCCAGAAAACAGTACTTTTAAGTATTTTTAAATGAATGATTTTTTTAATGTTAGCACAATAATTTACAGAAGTTTTATTATCCTGTAATTGTCTAAAAGTTTTTCATTACCAATGCCCTATTTATCCATAATGCTGGGACATCCGAATTTTAAATACCAATATTTACCTGGCTGACCCAATACAGCAGGAATTGGGTATTCCAATATAAAAGCAGTGCATAAAATATATGTAGTATCTTCAAAGGACTACCAAGCAACCAAAAGCAGATCTTATATAAACGCAACTACAGCATCAAAAGAGAAAGTCATCTTACTTGAAAAAGTAGAGGCTTTCTCAGTTTTTTCAGGTGACGGCATTCATACTCTGCTCCCCAGTTTTCAAAATCTTTCAAGGCCCTGCAAATCCTGTTTGTTTGACTGCTGAAATCCTGTGGTTGACAAACATTTCCCCTCAAAACTTAGTTGTCCATATTATTTATTTTCAATTTTATTAAGTGATCCTCAAATTCTCTCCTCTGAAAAGCACTTGAGGATTTTAGTTACCAACATGTCTCCTTAAAAAACTACCAATAAATCCCACACATCTTGCAGCCTACTCATGTTTTATGGTGCTCCCTAAAACAAACAAACAAAAAACCACCTATCCCAGGGTTCAAGTGGCTAATATGAACTGATGGCTTCCAACTTCCCAGGACCTGCATTATAGCCTTAAACACCTTGAGATCCCGTGTTGTGCTGCAGCTATCAGCAGCCGCGTGATCACAAGGCTTTTCAACAGCCCCAGATCCTTCACTGCTGCAAAACTTCTCATAAGCGTTCTAGGCACCAGATTGTTAACAGCGTTGGCTTAACTGTTTTACCTGTTTATTTACCAACCCAAACATCTCGGAGAATTCAAAGCCTTCAAACTGCCTTCCGAAACCTATCCCGTGTATTCCCGTGTTACTCTGAGAAAGATCTGCAGCGGGATAATAATTTGAGTTCGGCATCCCCTGACCCAAACTGCTGTTGCCAGGATATGCGGTAGTAATGCAGTGGTTTCTTTGAGATTGAGGATGTATTTTAAGCCCATCTCTACTAAATCCCTTTTAGTACCCGAAACTGCTGCGGTAACAATGCTTAACTGGAAGGTATTCGAAACAGCCGAAAGACGTGTTGTTCTAATTTGGCCTTAATTTTTTCCTCAATAATGCTTGCCATGGCAAGGACATTTTTCCATACAACGTCTGCAACTGAAGAAAGAAAAATCAAGCTTTTGGTACTAGTCATCACCTGCTTGTAGTCCATTATCAGGACGCTTCTTACAAATCTCTCGAGGTAGGATTTAGGGCTAAGCTTACATCGACCATCATCCTGAAACTTACTGTTTTCCAAGCCCATTTAATGGTCTAACGACAACAGCAACATTCACGCCCGGAGAAATCTCAATGTCTGACTAACCAAGGAGGCGTCTGATAACTAAAGCCCTCTTTCTCCGGGTGAGAATATGGAAGAATAGACAATGAAAGGGATTCATCTGTTACAATGAGGAAAGAGGGGGAAGGACCCCAAGAAGAGCCGTGCGAGCAAAATCCAGGGGTTCGGGAGCCCCGGTCTCAGCAACACTCGCCCCAAGCCCGCCCTCCCACCCCAACCCAACCGCCGTGTCCCCTGGGAGGCAGCCCAGCGCCCGCAACACGCTGGGCACACCCGAGGGCAGCACAGCCCTCCTCCCACCCCCAGCAGCCAGGCTGGGGCTCCCAAACCCGCAGCCCGAACAGGCCGAGGCCGTAAACCCGGCGGCCTGAGGTAAAGAGGTAAGAGGATACGGGGTGAGAGGAGATGCGGCCTCGCCTCAAACCGGGAGGCCCCTTGAGGAATCAGAGGAGGGAGAAAAGGGAGCCGTTTCGGAAGCCGGAGCAGACCCCGGAGAGAAAGCGAGCTGGGAGCGGGGGATGAGGAGGTTCCGGCTCGGCCAGCGCCTTCCCCGGACCTCGGCGACGCCCGTGTTTACCTGAAAGTCTCGGTCCTCGTTGAAGCGGGAGAAGCGGTCCGCCATTTTGCCGCCTTCACTCCTCTCAGGACGACGCTCTCCGGTTCGCTCCTTCCCTCCCGCGACACCCGCCCCCTCGCTCCCCTCCAGTGTTCCCCGCCTCCTCCCACGCCCACCCGCGTACAGGTCAGGGAGGGAGGAAGCGAGATATGCGCGTCCCGACCGGAGCACCGCCGGCGCAGGCGCCTTTCTACCCTGGAGGCGGAACCTTCCCTCACGTCCCCGCTTCGCGCGCGACCCAGAGAGAGAGAGAGAGAGAGACCCCGGCGGCCGCGCGTGCGCACTCGCGCCAGAGGGCTGCAAACGCTTCCGGAGAGAAAGGTCACGAGAGGGCGCTGCGCTCCTAGAGCCGGATGTTTTCAACCTGCTCCCTTCTCCCAGTAGGGTATCTCTTTTTGCGCTCTTGCTTGCCTGAAAACGCAGAAGCCCATCCTCTGCTTTCTTCACCAAATAGCAGCATAATGTAGTGGCTGAAAGCGCGGATTTTGGAGTCAGACTTAGTTTCGAATCCCAGGTTCACCCTGAGGATTAAACGGCGCACGAGACAGGAAAGATCCCTTCTCTCATAGGGCTTACATTCCAGTGAGGATAATCAGGTAATATAATAACATAATTTTAAAAATTAACCAGTGCTACAAAAAACAAAACTGAGGGGCGGTGGTGAAAGGAACGACCTCTGAAGCGACCTTTGACCCAAGGAACAGCAAGGGGCCTGCAGCCTTGGGACAGAGAGAACCTTAGACCCAAAGGGCCAAAGACTGCTAATAATGTGGCATTTTCAAGCGATCATTTGAGAGAAGTATTTCCCAAGAGACCAAAGTTGATCCAAATCGACTACAGCTCTCTGGGCTTCAGTTTCCTTTTTAAAAATAAGGAAATTGGTAATTTATACTGCCCCTGACCCTCACTTTTTTTTTTTTTAACATCTTTATTGGAGTATAATTGCTTTACAATGGTGTTTTAGTTTCTGCTTTTCAACAAAGTGAATCAATTATACATATACATATGTTCCCATATCTCTTCCCTCTTGCGTCTCCCTCCCTCCCTCCCTCCCTCCCCTCACTGTCTGTGTGTGGGTTATGAATCAGATTTTTCCACCCTTTGACCTTCCTGAGCACCCCACCTAGCCCTACAGCTCCCTTAGCCAAAATACATAAAACACATAGGAGAGGTAGCAGGACTTCCCTGCTTTTGAAAAGAGTAGTTGACAGAAGTCGCATGATGGAAAAAGGGCTCTTACCCTGCCCTGAGAGAGTCAAATGGAATGTAATTTTTTGGAGAAAGTGTGTGTATCTTCTATTCCTTTGTTACCTTCTGCTGCACCTAACCCCCAGTCCAAGCGGAATACAGTTCTGAGCAGTGAATAGAGCTCCCTATTTAAGTAGAGGCAGAACACACAGAATTGAAACACTGTGAGGAGACTTGAGGGTAAAGGTGGCAGGTTGAATCCCATGAATGCACATGACACATTTACCTCTTCTCCCTCTCCCAACCCCACTGAAATTACAGTAAAAGGATGAGAAGGGCATAAATTCACATGGACAAAAAGACCTGAAGAAAGGACGATAGCAGACAAGAGATGTCAACATCATTCGGAAGCTGGAGAGCATACATAAATGGAAATGGCTTTAGTAGAATGGAGAAAGCAAAGTCCTGGAGTAGGGAAGCCAGGAAACAAGTTGATTGATGCTAAGGTATAATAGAAAGGCTCAAGAATTGGAATCACCAGGTACCACTGAAGATGAAGGTGTAAATGGCGCTAAAAACAAGAGGACTGGTTACAAGGCAGTTAAGGGAGCAGTTAGACTCTAAATCCCTTTCCCACCCAGGTAATGAACTGGAGGGTTCTCCTCTGAAAAGGCTGAACCAGAGAGACTTCATATCTGTGACGACTGAAGAGGGAGATATCATGCTGAAAATGGGAAGATTTCGTAAAAGGCAACATTCTGGTCAGAGAGTCAGGCTTCTCCCAGTGATAGACTATAGGATCTATTGACTGAAAAGAAATGCACAACCTAAAAGTTGAGAGTTACGTTTTGTTCGGCAGACATTCTGAGGACTTCAAGCCCGGGAGATAGGACTCTCAGATCACTCTGAGGGACTGCTCTGAAGAGGCAAGGGGGGAGCCAGGATCTATAGGAATTTTTGCCACAAAGACCAGGTAGTCAGAACATCAAATATTACTATTAATTAAAGGAAAACAGATATCTCAACTTAAGGAATTTAGCACTTATCTGTGTATGGGAAGATGCAAGAGTCTGGGCTCGCTGAAATCACTCCTTTGATATGCACCTCAGCTATCTGGGGCCAGTATCCTGTGTTTTCTCATCCTGAGATTCATCAGGGTGCACTATTGGGGTGGCTGCAGCGTGGGCATTCTGTTTCCAACCAGAGTTCCCTCAGGGCTCACCGTTAGGGAGGCTGTAATGTTATGGCTTGATGGCTGCAACATCCTTTGTTTACTGACATGGCAGGTGATATTTTTCATTCACAGATCCTGCTCTGGGAAATTGACTGGCTTAGTGGAAAAAACCCCGACACTTACCAAAACTGGGAGTGAGGGGTGGGTTCTCCTCAACATAAAGGTCTTCTTCCTGCCCAAATAGCCCACAGAGAAGTCCATCATTCAGGTAGCCCCATTACACAGAACTTCCACTCAACTCTTATGTATGAATGGATAGCCAAGGATTACCAGACATTGAAGGAAACCTGTAACAGGAGAGACAGAGACAACCCCATCCAAAATCAAAACAAGACAAAACAACAGAAAAAGGGGATTCAGAGGAGTCAGAGATAATGGAGGTAGCAAAAGAAACCTGAAAAGAATTATAATCATTATCTACGGAGACATAAGATCACATTAGGGAACAAGGGTCCACATCAGGGAGCATAAGATGCCAAAAAAGAAAAAAGAATGTTCAGAAATTAAGAAATAAGTTGGAAGTTAAAATTTCTTAAGCAGAAATTAAAAATCCAATAGAAGAGTTAGAAAATAAACTTGTGGGAATTTCCCAGAAAACAGAATGAAAAGACACCCAGGTCCAAGCCACCTTCACTTTCTCCTTAATTATTGCAATAGCTACTAAACGTTCTGCTTCCACCCTGACCCCCTACACCAGCAGCCCCCAACCTTTTTGGCACCAGGGACTAGTTTCGTGGAAGACAATTTTTCCGTGGCCGCGAGGTGGGGGTGGGGGTGGGGGGTGGCGGATATGGTCCAGGCGGTAATGCGAGCGATGGGAAGCGATGGGAGCAGCAGATGAAGTTTTGCTGGCTCACCCGCCACTCACATCTTGCTGTGTGGCCCTGTTCCTAACAGGCCCCGGACCGATACCGGTCTGCAGCCCCGGGGTTGGGGACCCCTGCCGTACACTGTTCAAGCTACGGTGATCCTGCTAAAAAAGTCAGTCAGTTACATCAGTCCCCTGGTCCAACCCTCCAGTGGCTTTCCCTGTCATTCACAGTAAAATCCACCGACCACCACTTCACCTCTCAGACCTCATTTTCCTCTCTGCCCTCTGCTTCCCTTCTCTCTGAAAAAACTGGCCTCTTGGCTAAGCCTTGATCCCATGGGCTTGCTCCTGCCTCAGCCTGCCCCATTTAGGGGCTAATGTATATACTATTCTTTCTGCCTATTATTTTTTCCCAGATATCCACTGACATGGCTTGCCCCCTCATCTTTATTCAAATGTTAGTTTCTCAGTAAGATCCCTGATCACCCTATTTACAGAGCCCTGTATTCTGAACTTCCTAGCCTCCTTCCCTAATTTTACTTTTCTCTATTGTGCTTATCACTTTCTAATATGTAATGTAAACTCCATGTGAGCAGGAATTTTTCTCAGTTTTGTTCCCTTCTATATCCCCAGCATCTAGAATAATGAATGGTACATAGTAGGCATTAAATAAAGATTTGTTGAATGGATAAGATGGAAAACAGGAAAGAACAGATGTGAAAGTGTGAGGATCAATCCAACATCTGAATAGGAGGATTTCTAGGAAGAACAAGGAAAAACATGGACGGAAGAGCATATTAAAGAAATAACATGTAAACACTTTCTGCTATTAACGGCCTGAGTTTCCAAATTGAGAGGGCTTAGCACAATGGATGAAAACTAACTTGCTGCCATGTACAGCACTGTGAAATTTCAGGACACATGAGACAAAGAGAAGCTCCTTAAGGTTTCCAAAGAAGAAAAATAGGTTGTAAATGAAAGACCAAGAATTGGAATGATCTTGGTCTTCTGCAGAACACCAGAGGGGAGGAGACTGAGGAACAATGACCTGAAGATTCTAAGAGAGGATGGTTTCCAACCCAGAAATCTATATCCAGTCAAATCATTAATCAACTATGAGGGAGAAAAATGACATTTTTGACGTGCAAGCTACCAAAAAAAATTATTTCCCATGTACTCTTTCTCTGGAAGCCACTAAAGATGTTCTACAGCAAAAAAAAAAAAAAAAAAAAAAAAAGGAGTAAAACAAGAAAAGGGAGACTTGAAATCCAGAAAGCAGAGCTCTAACCTGAGAAAGAAGCAAAGAGAGTTCCCAGCGTGACTGTGTAGAGACATTCCAGGATGACAACTGTGCAGCAGACGTAAAAACACCCAATACAGAGGAGAACAGTAGGACACAGGAGGACAGAGGCCCCCAGGAATGTTGTTGGCAAAAAGAAATCTGATGGAGTATACAATTGGTTTGAAAGAGAGATTTACACTTCTTTAAAGTGTTTGATGGGAAACATCAGGATAGGAATATAGAAAACTAAGCAAATGGAAAAAAAAAAGGAATTAACTTTAGGGGAAAATTGTAGGGAAAAATATAATCATAATAATCCTACTACACAACATGGTTTACCTGTGAAAAATATTTACAATCACACTAATACAAAAACTGAATATTGATCTAACAAAAATGTCATAAAAGTATATTGTATACTCCAATAAAGATGTTAAATAAATAAATAAAGTCAAAAGTAAAAAAAAAAAAAAGTATACTGTGAAGATGTGGGAAAGGAGAAGGAAGATAGCCTGAGAGATTTAAATCTTCCTGTTATCGAAAAACAGTCAGTTTTTTGTTTTTCTTTCTGTTTTTTCGCTAGCAAAATGAGTTTATTTGGAGCAGCAAAGAATTTTAGTACAAGCAACTACAGCAAACCCCGTGCAAGTCCCATAAAGCAAAGGAGAGTAAATCCTTTTATAGAGGAGAAGAGGAAGTTGCGAGGGA